ATTCCCAAACAGTCATTTCCCTGGGCTGGGGAATTTGTTTTGATTTTTACCTTGATGTTCACTAACTGAAAGCACGAAGATCCAAAGCCTATGATGAGAGCAATAACCATTCCAAGACATTTACAAATGACCCTCTTAACTGTTTATGAGACATTATCTGAGGTAAAGCAGAGTAGGAGAAATAAACTTGAAGTAGGAAGAGCTGGCTCGCCTCCCAGATGGAGCATGATAAAGCACCAGTGTCAGTGTTTCTTCTCAGTTTTATGGCAGCCTTTAACTGCTTGGTGTTTAGGATTTTTTATCAGAAAACGGAAAGGAGAAGGAATGGATCCAAAGCAAAGAGGTTTTCACAAACAATATTCTCCAAATGACTTTATGTGAGCAGATACTGTGTTATCTGGCTATCAAGATAACACCATTTATTTTTTTACTTGCCACAGCAGCCTGCTGCTCAGATTCCCAGTCCTGGGATGTACGAGGAATTCCTGAGCACAGCAATAAATTTTCAAAGGGATCTGGATGACCCCACTGCTTCTTTCCTATTAGAAAATATCCTGAAAAAGTTGATCTCTGGTCAGATTTACCTCATCAAAAAGAATTCTATTGTCTCTCTTAAACAGTGTGTTAGTTGTCGGTTCCCATATTTAGCAAAGCTCTCTGGATTTTGTTCGTCTCCCCCAAAAGGTTAAGGAATGGCCCTTCATGGAACCATGGGAATGGGATAATTTTTTTTACACAGAAAGCTCTCCTGGAAGTGGAAATTATATAAAAACTACCTCACTTCTTACTTTTCCTTAGCTCAAAGTATAAATAACCTTAAACCACAATTTTTCACTGTCCCTTCACAATATTTTCAACACTATTTTGAGAAAAAAAAAAAAAAAGGTAAAACTCAGTTGTTCCAGTTTGTTCATTGTATTGGATATATCGGATGAAAAGCTTCATGTTTCTCTATTCCAGTTTTACAAAAACTTTACTGAAATGGTTGTCAAATTCACAGAGTGAACAGAGTTTTGACAAACAAAAATTCCTAGATGCATTTAAATAACATTTTTCTCAGGCTCCCTCATTTTTCTCATGTTTCCTTGCTTTCTCGTGCAACTTGGAAATGCGTCAAGAAAATGCATTAAAGAAATCTGGCAAACAGGGGTTAAAAATAAAATACTTCAGAAACAGAAGACTTCAGATCATACTTTACACATAAACAGAGGGCTTGGGTGTTCCACCCCACCAATGCTCACAGCACCTCCTCTGTCACATGCCATGAGCTGCCAGCAGGACCAAGGGATGGGCCCTCGGAGGACCAGAGCTGAGGGAAGTACTGGAAATCCTTCCACCTTCTCTGACTGATGCTGAAATCAGTTCATGAGGACAGAGCCAAAGAGCTGAGGAAACTCCATGTCTCGGCACCCCTGGAGCCAATTTTTGGTTGGATCCAACATCACAGGCTTCTGCCAAGTCCGGTGTAAATTTATCATCAGCTCTCTTAAAACCGGTTTTCTTCTTATCCCTCATTGATTGGTTGGGTTTAGCTCCCTCAGACCGAGCTACTGTCCTGAGGCAAACGGGGAAACCACTTCTCCTGGAGAATTTACCTGAGGGTAAAGCACTTTGTGGGTTGTTATAGCAAATGATGGGTTAGAGAATAAAAGAACCAGCCATTCCCATGCCATTAGTGCCCTCAGTCACTCTGCTGCATGACATACTCCCACAGCTGATGCTCCTCTTCCTTTCTCATGGAAAAACTACATCCCTCAGAGCAGCATCGCTCCTGATTTCCACCAGGACAGCTGAGCTCAGGCTCTGATCCAACAGCAACTTGTTTTATAGGTGTGTGGCTGCCCAAAGTGAGCTCTGTGCTTTGCAGCACGTACCCCTGGCAAGCTTTGGGTCACCCACACGGCTCCCGTGGTGGATGGGCACACACAGCCCACCCAGAGATGGGATTGGGATGCCCCAGGGCTGCACAGCCATGTGGGAGCACACAGGGTCTATGTCAGTGGCAGGGCTACTGCTCCAGCCACACACCAGATGCTGGAAATCCTGGATAAATATGTAAAATCCCCTAATTCCACTGGTATAAAATTTCCAGGCAGAAAAAAGAAGACGTGTCCAGGGAAACGGTGCAGCAGCCTGGACTTCAAGCCTTCAGTTCCAGGGATTTCAGAAAGCCCTGAATCAAAATTTCCACTAACACCATTTAAAAATATACCCTCCCCAGCCCACAGGAACCCAAGTGAAGAGCTAAGAATTACTTGAGTCCACAGCAAGGAAAAAAAAGTCCCAGCCAGGCCCTGAAGGATCAGAACGGGTTTGGGGATCAAGGAAAGGAAAGTGATGCCATCTCTGCAGTGGTGGGATTTCCCTGCAGAGATACAATCCTGCTGGACTTTGCATCTTCCCCACACACACAACCTCACCACCACACCACACATTTTAACTCACTCCAGTTTCTCTCACGTTGAACCAGAGCTGCCCTAAGTCATATCGCAGCGTGTTTGACCCCGTTTTTCTTCTTTGTTTTCACCTCCTGGTTGTGTTTTTCTCCAGATGAGGATAAAGTTCATGGAAATGCTTTTGTGAACCACCTCTTCAAACAGAAATGACTAGAAATGTTCATTCATTGCACACCTTTTAGCTGCCTAGGCAAGTAATAAGTTTTTCCCCCAAGTCCAGCCACCCAGTAAGAGGTTAAGAAACAAATTTCTCTGAGATTTTAAATTGTGATTCTTCTGCCTTCATTATTTACTGGTAGAATAAAATATAGCATCCAACTGTGAGGAAAGCAGTAAATCCTTATACTTAGCACAATCCCATTCCAAGCAAACCCCCAAGATCTGCACCACTTTTGAGCACAGCCTAATGGCTGCAAACATTATTTTAAGCCTCTCAGCACATCTCCACTGAAAAAGAAAATTAACTACTTTGTTTGAGATCTGTGAGTTTGCACTGAGCAAGCTGATGCCTCTATAAAATATGTCCCACTGCCCAAAGCCCATTGTTTGGGTACCAAAAGCTCAGTGGCTCTTTTAATACAGCCCTAAGCCTGGGATAACTCATTTAGAGCAGGAACATGCTGTCCATCTTCACTGCCTTTGACTTGGTGTTTGCTTGTGTAGGTCTTGCTCGAGGGTATCTGCACCACAGCCCTTTGCACAGACTAGATGTCTTTCCCAGACTACACGTCTTTCCCAGTGCAGCAAAGTCAACCTCAGTAAAAAGGAAAAAAGGACGGAAAATCTCTTTCACAACGTGATGCAACTTTACAATTTTTGATTCACGTCATCCAGCACGAGGCTTTCTTGGACATGGAAGTGCTGTTCCCCATTTGCCTCTTAGAGCAAAATGAAAGGAGAGCCTGTGATGCTCACAGTGTGCTGCTCACGGATTAATGCTGAGAAGAGCAACTTGTAAAATAAAAATGGGGGCTTAAAAAATAAAATAGCTTGACAAGGAAATACTTGAGCTGCCTAAAACAGATTTATTTATACTTTTTGGCAAAGATCACATTTTAATTGGGGTTATTATTCACGTGAGCCTGGAACTATATAATATTATCCAATAATACAGAGAATCTGACACCAAAACATGTCACAGCACATATTATATTTGCATTTGCCAGGCACGGAATCCCATAAATTGCTGTCTGATAAAGGTCTGCAGTTCAATGGACAAGACTTTAAACAATTTGCAGGGGATTATGGATTTCGACATACAACATTCAGTCACGGTTATTCGTAATCAGATGGTCTAGTGGGAAAGGGAATTAAGCTTCCAAAGCAGAGCCTGGCCTGAGGCTCTGTTGAACTTGAGAACAGTGCCTTCCAAACCTGGGCCATCCTCCACGAGAGCCTGACAGCCTTGGCTATTCAAACCTCCCAAGGAAGGTGAAGCTGATGGAGGTGTCTCTGAAGATAGGACACAAATCACCTCACAGCTCCAAAGATCCAAGAGGATGTGCAATGTACTGCATCCACGATGCCATCTGGGGACAGAGGAGATTGAGATTTTATGGCAGTTGCTCATGTTTCCCATAAAACTCAAAGCTCACACAGGGTGACTCAGGAGGAAGCAAGGGGCAATTGCAAGTTATTTCCCTGGAAACAGGGACCTGAACTGGAAAAGGATTCAGCAGCGCCACTGCAGGACCAAAAAGCAGCAACAGGGATGGAAATGCTCCTCAGGGCATCAGCCCAAATACCCAGAACTCCTGAAAGATTCAGGAAGCTCTGATACAACAGTCAGTGACACCGTGCTCCCTACCAGCACTGCAGCACACACGGGGCACAGTGGAAAATTTTCAGGCTCGTTATCAAAAAGGAGGGTTGAGTAATCCAGCACTGGCGCCTCATGCTACAGCGTGGGAGCTGATCCCAGCCAGTGTGCCCTGGGCTCTGCCACCTCCCTGCAAGAGGGATGCTCAGCCTCCCTGGGGCACCTTTTTTCCAGGTCACGTCCCAGACTCTGAGGAAAAATGTGAATGAACTCCCTATTTTTTCGTCGTGCTTCATTTGGTTTAATCTAGGCTGGATCTTGTGGACCTGGTGGCTCCCCCAAGGGGGTGGTCGTGGGGAAATGGGGACCAGCCTCACCTTGGAGAAGCACAAAGCCTTGGCAGCCAAGCCTACTTGAAAATGTCATGAAATCATGGTTCCAGGCAGGAAGACCAGCTCTGGGGCTCAAGTTGTGAGTTCAGTTATACCGACCCTCTGCTAACAGTCATAATTAGGGGTTGTGGATCACTGCCAGGAGCACGTGCGAAGAACCCAGTAAAACCCCAGTGTGTCAGGGTTTGGAATTGTGCCGCCACGGAGCATTTCAGGAAAGAATGCACTTAATGGAATGAAATGGTAGAAAAGGAATAAAAGCAGGTGTTGCTTTCACACAGGTCTCTGCACACATTGAGGGCAATAAGAAAAACAGGGATGAAAAGATGGACCTGGGTGTGCAGGTATACCTGGAAATGAGGACTAATATAACCACCTTAGACTGTCTTTGCCTTGGTCTGTTGTCTTGGAGCTGCTGAAAAGAGCACCAAAACATACAGCCTTGAAGATCTTGAATGTCAGCCTGGACACCAAGGTTATGCTCAGCTCTATCCAAAATTTCCACAGGATCATTATCTTTCCCCCTTCTTTCTATGGAGAGCGCTGGAAACCACTTAAAAGAGTGTGTGCTGAACGTGTGCAATAAGACCAAAGCTTTCCAAGTGAACTGAGTGCTGGCAACACAGTCCAGGTTGGGAGCAGTGGGAATTGCTCTGCTCCATTTAGTAAGAGTAGAAGAGCACCACATCAGTAGTACAAACAGCCCTGCATCCCACTGCCAGGAATCTCTGCTGGCAAAGGAAGGAAAAGAAAGAGAGACTCAAAAGAAGCCGTGCACATGCTTGCACCCCATGCTATGGCAATATCTGGTTCAAGATATTTTAATCTCTTTCATGATTAAGAAGCATAGTACTCACAGGCTGATCTTTGTTTTCTCCTTGGGGTCTTGCTCTCTCTCTGTCTTGCAAACAAAGGGACTCATTATCTTCAGAGGGACCCTGTGAGCTCCCACACAGCACAGAGCACAGCAAGTGAGGAATTCCATGGAAGTCCACAGGTAAAAAGTCCAAACGAGATTGAAAGTCAAGGGTGTTCAACCTCCCTCTGCACTTCTAAACACTCATCAAATCATACTGGCCAAGCTTTAAAAATTTTTATCAGTTTTCTGATTTAATCAAAGGCAAAGTTTGGTTTTCTGTCCCTCCAAAACACCAAGAGTTACACTAAGCTGCAAATTCACGTGGAAGGGAAATTTTGATTTTGCACTGAATGGCAAGAGCAAAGCAAGTGTTAAACAAAAGACACTGACCTGCTTTTTCCCAGCAGTAGTAAAGTCATCTCGCTTTCCTTCTGCTGTTCACATTGCCTTGTACAAGTATTTAAATCCTCTGATGTGAGAGCTGATATTGTTCACTGGGACAGCGCAGATATGGGGCACGGCAGGGGGTGGAATAAAACAACAAGAAATTAAAGTGTATCCTGAGAAATAAAAAGATGTTTCCTTTTATCATCTGAAAATAAAATTAATCTGATATAAGAGCTGCCTGGAACAACTCTTGACAGCTACCAACAACCCCTACAAGAGCTAGTGCAGAGCATTTTGAAATGGGATACAGTGACATCCATTTTACTGATGGGCTCCTGAGGCAAAAAAGGCAAGAAATGACAGTCCACACACTCACCCTGGAGAGCAACTGAATCTGGGGGCTTTGCAGGTGTAAAACCACCACAGAAGATTGACACATCCTCCTCACCTTACCAGAGCTCCATGGAAGTTTTGTGGAGCAGAACTGACACCTGTGTTAACTTCTATGACATCAGTGATGGGAATGAGGCCATGTCAGTATAAATTAGTATTAGAGATGTGAGTCAAGCCTTGTAGGTAAAAGCCTTGAAATTCTTATCTCTGATCCACCTGTCAGCATGAAAAACAAAATGGTCAACAAGCATGAAATCCAGCTTCTTAGCTACTTTTGGCTGTGAATTTAGAGTAAGGAATACTATAACTATTAAATGGTTAATGTAGGTCTTCCAAATAGTCAGGGAGCTGGGTGCCACGAGGATTTTTTAATACTGGTCGAGATTTTTCACTGGAATTTTAAGTTTTTGCTGACTAATGACTTAAAAGTTCATTTAATAATTCCATTATACAGAAATGGCACTAAGGAGAAGTGCACACTTCTCAGCCATCCACTTGCCTGGACAAGGGGCAGGGGTGACCTTAGTCCTGCCTGGACCAGTGTTGGTCCCTGAGGGAGGACACCCAGGAGCTTTCACATCCCTGATGCTTCCAGCCATTTGGACACTCCCCATTTGGGGCTTGCAGTGAGCCTGGGACACAGAGCTCATTTCCAAATTGGCTCCAACACCTGATTTCCTCATTGGTGCCATAACAGCCAGGCATTCCTTAGGGTGCACTATTCTTCTTCTTGTTTTTTTAACATTATTAATTGTCCCCATTGACAGTTCTAAAGGGTTGGTTGTTTTTTTTTTTCCCCCTCTGATAAGACAAACACGTTTGAATCAAACAAGCCTTGACAAATGCTGGAGATACACACTGTGCTGAAATAATGAGGGAGCTCTTTCACACCACACCACAATATGTATGGACAAGTTGTTGCACTGGAGCAGTATGAGCTTGTCAGATCACAGTGAAACGGTATTCATTGAAAGAACAGGTACAAGGAAGAACAGCAGAAAGTATTCTGCTGTACAAACATGCAGCCAAGCAAAACCTTTGGAAGAACAGGACACAAGCAACACTGAACCATTTTCTTTACAATACTGCCTGGTGTCAATAAGTGCCCACAAGAAATTGAAATATTTTCCTGCAAAAGAGAAAAGCAGTAATTAAGTCTCAAATTTAGTCTGGCCCAGATACACAAAACAGAGGGGATCAATAGCTGCCAACGGCTGCTGTTTTGCAAACCATAAACCTGAAACAAGCAAAATAACAAACACGTTAAAATACATGGGTTTATAGCAAATGTAGACAGAAGTATACAAAGTTACACTTCCCAAATCAGTGAATTGACTTGTGTGTATTCTTAATAATGTTAATTTGCTAAAATCAGGGAAAGGAAACCGTGACAGTCGTCCTTCCCACCTGTCATGAGCTTGAACATGTGTGTACATAACATGGGCAACCACCTTCACAAAGCACGAGGCAGCCTGACTCACTCTGTCAACAGAACTCCCCAACTTCATAATTATAAGGAGGTGCCAGTTTCATGCTATTCAAAGTGTATTTTGAAGGGTAAATACTTTCTGGCCTGACAGCAGACCTGCCTGAGTCACTGGCCAGGCTGTGCCCAGCTGTGCCCATGGTGCCCACAGCTCTGCCATGGGCTGGCTGCATGACAGGAAGGAGCAATGTGCTGTGTCCAGCTGGGAGCCTCCTCTTCCACCCCTGTACCACCACAAGACTGAGCCCAGGCAGCTATACCCACCTGATGCCCCTGGCAGTGCCCTCCCCTGTGCCCTGCCCCTGTGCACAGCCCTGGGTGGGTGTTTCAGCAGGAACAGGCTTGCAGGGAGCTCCTGCCCTCGCTGGAGGGGTTAGGGAAGGAAAGCCATGGAACGGGGCTTGCCAGGGGCACACCTTGTCTGGGGTTCACACGGGTGTTTAATGCAACAAGCAGTGTCACCACCACCCAAAGGAGAGCTGGCTGCTCTTCTGGAGGGGAGGTTGGCCACTCCATCTCGAAGGAGCTGTGTATTTGTAACCACCTGCCTCGGGAGGAGGTGCTGGCAGGAGGGATGGATTCTCCCGGAGGGAGCTCCTCTCCAGCACACTGACCACAGGCATTACCTGCCCCTTAACGATGTGCAAGTGGTGGTTTGCAGTGAGTCCTTCCAGGCTGATTTAATTGGACCAGAGGACTCCAACACAATCTGCTCCTGCCAGATTTCTGCCTCCAGGAGGAAGGTCAATGCCCTGCAGTCATGACCAGGGTGATTCTGAGTGTGAGATGGCCACTGCTGCTCTGAGCCAGGGCTCAATCTCCCCTCCCAGCCTAGCTCCCCACTGCATTTATGCAAAACACAGCAATCTCAACTCCAGAGACTTGCTGGAGGACAGAGAGCATCATCCATGGGAGCTCAATATGTGACCTTGCCCTTGAGCATCTGCCTGCCCCAGCACGTCTCTCCTGTCACTGATAAGGTGCATCTGGATCCTCCTCACATGCCAGAGAAGGAGGAAGGCAAAAATCCTGCTGCTGAGACTCACAGCCTAGCATTGGCACAGCAATCAGGGAGGGAAAGGTCTTGCATGGAACCAGCTGCCCCACTGCCACCGCCCAGGGCTCCCAGTCACCTGCTGGCTTTGCTCTTGTCGTTGCTGCAGGCGCTGCTGGTCAGGGGAAGATGATACTGCAACCCGACACAGAAATAATTAACGGCGGGACACCGAGGGGAACATGCCACGATGATCAAGAGCCTGCAGCCTGAGGCAGCCCAGCGTGTCAGGAGGAGGGAGCAGCATCCCTGCGAGAGCTGCCACTCAGCGCTCTAATTTGTAGTGGCCGGGCAGCCCCCGCCGCCCGCCGTCGGAAAACAGCTCCGGGTGGGAATTTACACTGGGAGGAATTAGCAGCCAGCCTGCCCTGGGCTGGGAGGAGGCGTTTCGGGTTTCAGGGCTGCCCATGGGTGATGGGAGCTGAGTGCTGGGAAGGGGGACACGGCACCTCACAGCACCTTACCACCACCACCGAGCCCGTGGGCAAACTGCGGGAGGGCTCCCGAGGGAGCACTGCTGGGCAGGTGCTTCCCTAACTGCAGACACCCTGGGATTCTTCCCCCACCATCAGCTTTGACCCTAATAATCCTACAAATAGCCATTGGGGTTTAACTTCTGCTCCCGGTTAAAAAAAGATGCAAGAAAATGGAAGCCATGGCAAGATGTTATCTCTGCAGCTGCTCAGCAAGTCCTGCTGCCTAGGGAAGGGGGAAGAGTTGGTTTCTGGTTCCCTTTTCCTGGGATGAAGGAGAGGAGCTGAGGAAGGGTCTGGAAGAAGAAAGGCAAAGCAGGCTGAAAACAGTTTGGTCCAAGAAGCTGCAGTAGGTGGGAGAGAAGCAGCAATGACAGCCAGGCCAGGGCATGGGGACCCGTGTGTGTCCTGAAGGACACCCCACAGGGACAGCCCTGCCCACCCAGCTCTGCCAGGAGCATGCCAGTCAGAGTCCCTCATGACAGAACACCGGCAGGGAAGGGGCTGGAAAGATGTTTGGAGGGAAGCAGAGGACCACAGTAAGGCAGCTGGGGTGGAGAGCATGAGTTGTGTTCTAAGGAGAGGATAATAGAGCCAAGTAAATATTGCTCAGCTGAGGGACAGCAAAGAGGACAGAGCAGCCTACAAGTATCTGGAGGTTGTAAACATCAAGGAGGGAGAGGAATTATCTACAGTTGTACAGGGGGCATAACTAAGAGTAATGGGATGAGATTAAGAAAGGAAGGGTTTAGGCTGAATATTAGGAAATATTTCCCAATAATGAAATGGGTCAGGCTGCTGAATAATCCTTCCAGGGAAGCCGCAGGAGCACAGCACTTCAGATGGTTACAACTACCCATGACTAAAGCCTGGGTTATGTGCTGCCAGGCATAATGGATAATGTAATTTCTGTCTCTGGCCTCCAAGATTATTTCCTTTCCATCTCTACAGGAGGAATAACTTATCAAGTAATACATGCTTTGAACATGATGCTCCTTTTGTCAGAGACAAAAGAGCCTCCCAGTTCCCAGCCCTGCCAGGAGTGTCACTGCAGTCAGTGGATTAGGGATGCTCCCTGCTCTGCTGGTCACACCTCTTGCCTTTAGGGCACAGTCACTTCTCCCAAATTCCAACCTAAACAAAAACAACTTGGTTTAAAAAAAAAAAAAAAAAAAAAAAAAAAAAAGTGGACCTGGTTTATTTTGCATTTGTTTTAAATTTGCAGTTAGATAGCATGAAATGTATACATTTAAAACAAATTGACCCAAAAGAAGCACTGGAAAATAGGGAATGGAAGCACAATAAACACCTTTTTCCTTTTACTGTCTCATTTGCCATGAGACAAATCTGGACTGGCCTCAATTCAACATCAAACTACTCCTTCAGTCAAATCTAGGAAGCTTTTGTACTCCACAAAATCTGTACCTGTCCAGAAAACAGGATTTCCAGTCATTTTCATAGGAGAGTTTCCATTCAGCCTTAATGAGGAAAAGTCAGTCACCCAAACAAGAGGAAGGCATCAGGGAAGAGCCAACCATTGAGATCTGACTCACTGCATTTACATCTGTAATTAGGGGACTGGGAATGCTCAGCAGCAGCGTTAGGTGACAGAACTAGAACAGTATCACCTTCCACAGCTCTTGTGAAAAGCTTCAGGTACAATCCCTTGGTGTGGTGGCAGGGCTGGGACATGAGGGCACAGGGGATGAAAGGATGGAAGCACATGTTTCCTGAGGACAGGAGTGCTGAACCTTCACAGTTGCACCATGTTTCTCCTGTTCATTAACAGTGGACAGCAGGAGAGCAGCACAGGTCTGAGCTCGGGCATCAAACGGAGATCCCCGGGTGCTGAACATCGGGAGTGAGGCAGTCAGGGAAGAGTGGGATTTCTGAGTCTTTCAGAGCCCCAAGGCTGGGACATGGGAGGAGGAGGAGGACTAGGGAGCTGTAATAAATAAACACTCTTTAACACTGGATCTCAGGGATAATAATCCATCAAATCCTAAAGGTTTGCCCTGAGCAACTCCCCGGTTTATGTACAG